CAAGTAATTCATATATATAATGCACATTTAAATATGGATCTAAATGTTGCTTATGTGCACCATGCAATAAAACATAAATACTTCTTACTAATGCTGCTTAAAAATTGTTTATTTTTGGTCATCAGTGGCTGCAGTTTTTTTTTTTTATAAAGGTAAAATGTGTTACAACACCATGCTTGTTTGGTACAGACCCCAGCAATAATTACATCATTATCATTTTTGTGTTTTTGTTTTTGTTTTGTTTTGTTTTGTTTTTAATGAAAATAAAATGCAAAAATTACCATTCCCAATACAAGCGGGACTCATATCGCAATCACAATATCTGTCAAAATAGAAGTATGATTTTTATTTTTTTTTTGCATATTGAGCAGCCCTACTAATATGTTACCTGCCAATGATGGTGCAGTGATATATTTATAGGACTAATAGCAGTGCCAGTATAAGAGATGCTGCTATACAGTTCTGGTTGTCTCTCAAATGTAAGTCCAAGTTATTTTGTCTCTCAAGTTGCTTTTGGTATAAAAGCTTTGAGTGGTTGCTCTGAAGATACACAACAGACAGAAAGAAGGAACTGAAAACCATTGAAACAAGCCAAATGCTGCGGAAACATTCACCAAGTTCAACATAACCAGGTAATTTCCATTTTATTTCATTCAGGGAAACAGAGGGTGTACCAAGCACTGCCATCCGAGAGATTTCACTCCTCAAAGAACTCAGTCACCCAAATATTGTCAAGTAAGTGCCTGATGTTACAACTCTTAAATGAATCTGGTTTGCAGTATCACCTGCCTGTGTGACTTGATTCTTTAAGTTCTCACACCAGCCTGCCTGTTAACATATTTCAGATTGCGGGACGTCATCCACACCGAGAACAAGCTCTACCTTGTTTTTGAGTTCCTTCATCAGGATCTAAAGAAGTTTATGGACTCCTTCACAGTCGCAGGTCTCCCTCTGCCCCTGGTTAAGGTAAACATCGGCTAGATTTGCAAAAATGAATCTGTCTCAATCTCTTCAATAAATTGAGAGTAAATGGACCCTTGATTTTCAAGTTGACTTACCTGGGTGTATATTTTTGTGTGTGTGTTTTGTAGAGCTATCTTTTCCAGCTGCTGCAAGGCCTGGCCTTCTGCCACTCCCACAGAGTTCTTCATCGAGACCTGAAGCCCCAGAACCTCCTCATCAACGCCCAGGGGGAGATCAAGCTTGCTGACTTTGGCCTAGCGAGAGCCTTCGGGGTGCCTGTCCGCACTTACACACATGAGGTAACATGTACAGCTAACCCATCCAGGTCAACAGGCTTCTCAGAAAAGTTTGGAGTTGTATGGTTTAAAATGTAGCCAGTGTTCACTGTATCATGCTTCCTCTGTGTGAATTGAGCACAATGGTATAGTGAACATTGGCTAATGGCAGTCCTGAGAAATTGTGTTTCTAAAAACCAAACTCGCTTCTGTGATATTTTTCAGGTGGTAACACTTTGGTATAGAGCACCAGAAATCCTCTTGGGCTGTAAATACTACTCCACAGCTGTCGACATCTGGAGTCTGGGGTGCATCTTTGCTGAGATGGTAATTTTCATCCTGTTCCATGTTTTACAATAAGCCTCACTGTGAATGACTGAAGCCTGCACATGTTGCACAGCAGATCAAATGTAACATCTAACCAACAGACTCTCTTCACTGTCCACTGTCATGCAGCTCACCAAGAGGGCCTTATTCCCTGGAGACTCAGAGATCGACCAGTTATTCCGAATCTTCCGCACCTTGGGCACACCTGATGAGACCGTCTGGCCAGGAGTCACATCAATGCCCGACTACAAACCATCTTTCCCCAAGTGGGCCCGACAGGATTTATCCAAAGTGGTGCCAATTCTTGATGAGGATGGAAGAGAACTGCTTGGGGTGAGAACCTTTGTCATTCATTCATAGATTAGTGTTACCTTTGCAAAAGAAGTTTGACTCATGTGTGTTTGTGTGTTAGCCAGATCAAAATATGACAATAATATACATGTTAAAGTTTGTGAAGAGGGTCAAGGACCATGAACTACTGCACTTAAGTGCAACAAAATTAGACAAATCTTGTCCAAGGATAATGTGTTACCTTTTTAATTTTGATGAAGATCCGGATGCAGATTACAAGTTAAATAATTTTGCAGCCTTGGCAGAACTATGAACTCTCAGGGCCAGAACACATGCTGCGTCTTTTACCGCCTGGGAAACGTGAGGTCAGATGATGTGTGCTACTTTTGTGCATACTCTGGGCCGCCATTAAGGATGCAGGGGCAGGTTGCGCCTGACTTTGCTAAGCAGTCATAACCAGCACTGTATTATAGCCTTTTACCAGAAATCCTGAGTAAGGAACTGATGTTCTTCCAGGTGTTGTTTTAAGGTCTAGTGTGTAGGATTTAGTTGCAGAGTAAAGCTCCTCACTTTCATACTGATGCAGGCAGCTGTGGACCCAGACCCAGGTTAATCTGAGTGAGACAGAGGCAGCTACCAATACAGTTCACAGCAACGTCATATGTTACAGTCTCTGGGTTTTGTTTGATATCTAATGTCGGCAAAAAATGTTGTACATTTTTCACTATTTCCTGACATTGTCTAGACTAAAATGATGAATCGATTAGTCAGGAAAAGAAATGGTAGGTTATTGACAATAGTTGTTAGTTGCAGCTGTACTTTATAGACACAACCATATTTCTCTATTTCTGTTTTTGTCCATGCAGGAAATGCTGAATTACGATCCAAACAAAAGGATATCTGCCAAAAACGCCCTTGTACACCGATTCTTCCGTGACGTCACCATGCCAATTCCTCATCTGAGACTCTGAGTCAAGCAAAGCATCAGTCCATTTTGACACCAACAATGTCTAAGCAATAAGAACCTCCTCTCCTCACCTCATACCCGGGACTGGAGTGGACAGAAAAAGTGGACACTACAGGATATGTTGGATCCTTTAATGGATATTTGTTAATACCTAAAGCCAGCTTTCTAGACGGTAGACGTCCCGAGGGTGTTATAATTGTAATGAAGGTTAAACTGTAATTTTCAATATCATATTTTTGCATATTTGTGTTCAGCTGCCATTTTCATCGTTGATGTTTGTGATTGGGATGGTCCTGATGGGGTCAGGGAAACTCATCCTAGTTATCTGCCAATGAAACGGTATGTTGGCTTTAGGATGTTCAAATTCAGATAGTCAAATAGTTAGAGTTAAATATGTTTAAATGAGTTTGTGGGATAGTGCAAATAACAAATGTCATACTTTGTGAGACAGCAGCAGCTGCAATGAAAGATGTGAGTGAAGGTTGTCACAAAGCAAACATCATCAGCTGATCGTAAAACAGTTGGAGCTAAAAGAATATGAGACAGCTGTCGTGCTCTTTTGATTTGATTTTCTTGCAGCTAAAGTCTAAATTTGGGTCTAAAATATCTGAAGATATTTTCTAGCAGCACCTTTTGGTTGTTTAAAACACAAAAATGTTTATTGGTAGTTCGGCTGGCAGGATTACTCACCAAACTGAAGTTCTCAGCGTTGTACATACAGTTGTGATATAGACATGTTCCCCATTGTTATTCAGATTTTACAGAATTTAATGTGCTGTTGCCTCTTTCTTACTCTAGATTTTATTCAAATTTAAGGAACCGTTTTTATGGATTTTGTTAATTTACAGTTTGAAAAAATAAAACTTGTTTAAACAACTGTTACTGTTTGTTCGTGTGAGGATTGTTTTGGTCTTAAAGGAATAGTTCATCCCTGTATGACCATTTGTATATTACACACTCAGGGTTATGTTGAATTCATGAAGAAATCATTTCTCTGGCATGCCTCTGGTGAACAAAGAATCCAAAAATGGAGAAGTCAGTGGGGTCCACATTTAACAACACCAAAACTATATCAAAACATCTGTTTACAAAGTCTGCCACAACTCGTGAAATACAAGTATTATTTATAGTCGTATGCTCAGTATTTCCCAAACACACCGCCCTTTCTGATGGGGAACTAAACTAAAAGTGAAATGTACTTTTGCTCTCTTCAAAGCAGTTTTTGTTAATGGAGTCTGGCTTTGAAGAGAGCATAGGTAAGTTTCACTTTCAGTTCAGTTCCCTGTCTGTTTGGGAAGCACTGAGCATGTGACTGGATAAATGAGACTTGGATAACGTTGCATGAGTTGTGTGAGAGTTTGTAAATGGATGTTTTTATATAGTTTTACTGTTGTTAAGCATGGACCCGTATGACTTAAATTCATCATGAACTTTCTCTGTTTTTGGATTCTTCGTTCACTGTGGAGGCATGTGAAAAAAAAAATCAGTTTTGTTCCCAAAGTTCAAAGTAACACAGTAAATAAAGTAAATGATATACAAATGATCATTTTGGGGAAGGGGGTGTACTGTCCCTTTAAGCTTGCACTTCAGGTGGTTCATTTGAGGCAAAAATATTTTCTTCAGTTCTGGAGCCAAGTGACGCAATTAATGCCTGATAGCTGTGAAACTGAAATACCAGAGTCAAATGCTGTCTCGCATTATTAAATCAAATTACTGTCACACATCATTAATCTTGGGCTGGACAAATGCACAGGTCCATTTCTACTGTTGGCATCTCGTCACACTGGTTTTGTTCACCTGAGTAGTTTTTACGGTACATGGTGTAATTTTCTCCAGCAGAGAAGACCCATGTATGTTTTTATGTAATGAAATGGCAGTGATGTCGACTTCAAATTCAAATTCATATCTTAATTTTAAGTCACATTATGTGAAAAAGTGCATGACAGTTTGAGTTGAAACTACAGAAAGCACAGGAAAAGTACAGCAAAAGAGATGTTAAGTTTTCAAGACAAAAAAGGTTCAAGTATGTAAAATTAGATGATTAACTTGAGCTACAAGGTAAAATTAGTTAAAAATTAAATAAATAAAATTAGTGTTTTAAAAGTTGAAAATAACTGCTTCACACAAGTAAATTACTTTAAAAAACGCTCCAATGAAATACCAATCAACCAACAGACTTCCAACTAAATAAGTCTTTATTAGTCGCGCCATATTTAGATGTCACGTCGGTCAATGCAAGAAGGTTGAAATCAAGAAAAGATGAACAGAGACAAACAGATAGCACAGATAATCTGAATCACAGGGAAAGTAATGCATTGCTGTCTGCCACAGTGTCTTTTTGGTGCTACTGTACCACTTGGGAGTGCCAAAGTCTAAAATGTTTAAATCTTACACATAGTGGCTTTATTATGCTCATATCTGCACATCCTGTACATAGTAGGAGACAGAGCTCTAGTGTTAACGGGTGTAGTTTGCCATTTTATTTCCATAATGAACAAGAATTAGAGGCAGAAATGGGCAAAGATAGTTGGGAAATGAGCAGTAAAAAATAGATATGTTATATTCAGATATAAATTAATAAACGATTGCATTGCATGAGAGGCGTTATTCAAATAGTGGTGCTCTATGTTAATTTTATTAATTTCATTTAATAAAATGTTAATAGCACAAAATCCATATGTGCTCGACTTGTGTGAAAAGTTGATGCATAAACAGAGAAATGTAATCTGAGGTTGCCATAGTGACAACATTTTTGTGGCTGCACTATATGTGAGACAACCCCATAGATATTTTGATTATGACAGCTGGTAAATTAAAACAATGTGTACTAGAAATGTTAAAAGACTGACGAGTTAATAAAGCTGCTGAATGAACTTTGAGGCATAACTGAAGAAATGTTTATTTTTTTAATGCTATCTTAAGAACTATGCATTGTCTTTTATGTAAAGTGATAAAAGTTAAATAGATGCTACACATACTGTTATGAGGTGAGTGATTGCAGGAGGGTACATTTGACTATAAACTCAGGTTGAATTCAACTGACCAACAAACGAGTGTTTCTATGCACTCAGCACTGCTACAGGATATATGTCATTAACATTTATTCAGACAGCAAAATGACAGGTTAAGTAGACGCACAGATATTGAGGTTTAAGTGAGTGGTCCAATAAAGTATGATGTGTCCTGAGTCCTGTATATTGACAAAAAAAGATAAGTGCTTGGCTGATTTAACTCAACAGATCACAGGTAAGTGCATTAAGTTGATGCACCAGTAGGCACAGATATAACTGATAAAATGGAAAGGCAGTGCAGTTTGATTAGAAATAACTGTTTGGCAGTGATGACAAAATGTGCCTCAGATAAAGAAGTCACATGATACCTTTTTAAATGTGGAAATATATGTCCAATGTTAACGTCTAAAAGTGCGAGTTTACCGATGCAGCTCAGCAATCCAGCACCAATGAAATTTTTAAGGCTTTATGTGATTCAGACTCAAAGCCCACACTGGTGATATTGCATGTTTAGCTGACTGATTACAAATCACATCACTGCTGACCATTTTGCACACCATGTTGGAGTGTTGGAGACTTTTGAACTTACTTTTCCTTCCCTCCAACCCTTTCCATTCATTTACATATGATATTGGAACCCATTTCTGCCAGTGTGATAGAAGAAAATGATTATAATAACTGATTGTAATTAGAAATTATATGAAAATAATCACTCTGTATTCCAAAATAATGAATTGTTATCATAAAACAATGATTCTTTATCTCAAAATAATGACTCAGTATCATAAAATAATGCCTCTATCTTAAAGTAATGAGTCAGTATCTGATATACTAAGAATCTGACAAAGTATCTGAAATACTAAGTCATTGTTTTATGAAATTTTCTCATTATAATTACTTAAATATTCTTTTTTTTATTTTAAATGGGTTGCAAACTCTTGAAACTTGCTTGAGTTGTCACAGTGCACAAATGTTTAAAAAATGTTCTGTAATTATTGAGACTTCAAACAGTCTGGACTTAAACTTTCATGTACCACACCACAATAATGAAACTGAAAAAAACAGGTATTACTTGATGGTCTCTGGATTACACAGTTAAAGTTTCAAGATTTATTTTTACACTGTACGGACCCCAGTGGCACATTAATCTGAATTCTACATTATGCATTAAAATGGTCAGCAGTGCACATGATTTGCAGTTAAGGAACTAAAGCACTGGTTTGGTACTTTAATGGGGTTTGGGTTTGTTTGTGGGAGTTTTGGGAGGATGTTGTGGTGTATTATGTAACTCAAATTTCTAATTTCTTTTTCATGATAAGCTTGTACAGAATCTGGTAGCCATCATCCCAGGCATACAACAGCTGCTCGTGTGGGTTGTATTTCAGACTGGAGTGGGCTCCGTAACGCTTTGGAAAGTAAACTAGTGGTGCATCTTCATTGGTCACCATACCATTGACGTCAAACACACACTGGACACCTGAGCGACCAGGCTGCTTGGTGTTGTACACGACATACAAAGTGCCACAGATGACAAAAGCTGCCTCCGCGTTCTCCCTCGGACAGTTTGTGTCCCACATTTGCTCGATGCCCAGAGAGTTGGCGTCCATTTTCGCCAGAGAGATGTACCTCTCGTTCTGCCGTGTGGCATAAATGGCCCACAGGCCTTCCTCGTCCACAGCCAGGTCCATCACTGTCTCAGGGGTCAGGCCGTACACTGGGACGTGGTCCTGCACCGGGAACACTGCGCTGTCTTTCACAGAGTTGTTCTTTATGTCATATTTAACCACCATTATCTCATCAGCCTGATTTATATAATACACATGATTGTTGAAGACAACATGTCCAGTCCCCTTCCAGGCAGACGGCAGATTCAGGTCCTTGGACAGAGACAGGCCCAGTGAGCGGGAGAAGTCTTGTACAGTTGCAAACTCATGGATGGTGATTTCATCTGTCCCGTTAAAAATGTAGATCTTCCCAGAGCCCCTGCTGGTGTCTTTGGTCCACGTGCCCTTTGGCCCTCCAACTCGCTTCAAGATCTTCATGGCTTTTATGCTGGAGATCATGTCGCTGCAGTCTGAAAATGAGACAGCAGCAGGCTTTACATGATGGGTGAAACCTCGCCAACACACTGATCATGTTTACATTTTATTATAATTTAAATACATCCGGAGCGTCTTTAAAGGAAAAGCTTGAAATTTAAGGAAACACGTTTATTTGCTTTCTTGTCCAGAGTTAGAAAAGAAGATCAATGTCTGTTCACTGGCATGCAGGAGACGCTTAGCTTAGTGCTAAAGTTGCCAAACACCCAGTGGAGACTCCTGGTCACTGCAGCCAGTTAACAATAGTCCAGCACCTAAAACCATAGCCTGTCGGAGTTTTTTTGTACAGATTAAACTAAAGAAATGTAACAAGGTAATTAATGAGCTTTAAAGGTGCTGGTAGGTACAAATTTGTTACCTTCAGGCAGAGCCAGGCTAGCCATTTCCCTCCGTTTCCAGTCTTTATGCTAAGCTAAGCTAACCTGCTGCTAATTCCAGTCTTATTTTTCAATGCACACACACAAGAGTTTCATCAGTCTTCTTACTGAACTCTCATCAAGAAAGAAAATAGGCGCATTTCCCCAAATATTAAACCATTCGTTGAAGTCATTTGGGACAAGGTCAAGTCAAGTCCTTCTGGGTGAATCCAAGTCAGGTCCTCATGTTTATAACTTAAGTCCCCTGCACTATTATGCAGTGTTTATTCTGATAAACATGTCGTCTTGTTGTCCAAGCACATCTAACCTGATAGTTTTGAATACTTGGCCTTCTGCTTCTCCTCTACCAGCGTCACTTGCTGATCTATCAGCTTGTCATCCACGTCCACACATGGCTGAGCTCCGTTCTGAGTCTCCAGGTAGTCCAGCTCACGCTCAACCCGGTCCACCCTGGTCCCCACACCATCCAGACTCGTCCTCAGTATCTCTTTCTCTTTATCCAGGTTCTCCAGCTGGGAAACCATCTGTTGCTTTAGCTCCCGCAGCTCGGAGGCGTAACGGGCGGTCTGTTCATGCCACAGGGAGATCCGGTCCTGTGTTAAAAGAAGGTGACAAAGATGGGTTATGTCTGAATTTTTACACAAGCTGAAGTGGTCACTTGTTTTCAACTTATCTGTTTGTGCTTTAGTAATATGAGCAACACGTGATGTCAGTTTTATGGTAACTGTAAATCAGAGGTGTGGACCCTGGACTGGAGTCACATGACTTGGACTTGAGTCAGACTCTAATCACAAATTTGGTGACTTTAGATTTGACAAAATAAAAAAAAAAGACTTGCAGCTTGACCTGAACATTAAAATCACTGACTCGTGATTCCACCTGGACTTGAGCCTTTTGTCTTGAAAAAACTTAATGCCTTTCCTCAAGCTGCAAAAGTAATAAATGAAACAAGGTTCCCAGCTGATGTAGCTACATATGCTGCTGTGCTGAAGCAGCATGTAGCTACATCAGCTGACTCTCGCCTCAAGGACAGAGAACTACAGACATTTTTTCAGTATGAGGTGAGTTTACAACAAAACAGGACAGAGACATACAAAATGAATTCTGTTGTGGTACTGGTTATTAGTGCTATACACTATGAAAGTGCAATGTCAGCACTATCTTTTAAGATAAGTTCAGTTGCACTTTTAAAGAGCATTCATGATTTCTGTAAACCAGCCTTATATATTATTACTCTGTTGTTAAAATGGCACGTTTAGGATTTGGAACTTAAAGTTTTGACTTGCGACTTGACGCAGGACTTGCCTATCTTTACTTGGGACTTGATTGAAAAGACCTGAGACTTACTCGTGACTTGCAAAACAATGACCTGTTCCCACCTCTGCTATAAATACACTACTAGAAAGCTCTGAGAAGGCCATAATTTTAAGTTTTTTTTCAGGCTCCGTAAACAGACTGGGACAGAGGGACATAATAAGTAGGAAACTCATCCTTCAAACAACCAGGTTCAACCCACACGTGGCAAGTTTCCACCCTGCTCAAATGTCTTTTAGCAAAACACTAAATCCTACCAGCGCACTATGCTGCAGCCCTTGACCTCTGACCTCAATGTGGAGGAGGAACAAGAAAATAGATTTTCTCTGCAGATGATGAGAGAAATCTGACACCACATTACAGAGAGATACAGATACTGAGTGATGTGGATGATCAACATCTTTATTTTTAGTAACTCCATTCATAGAAAACCACAATATTAAAGTAGAATAACTGCATAACATGATCCACATGTTGAGCTATTACTGGACCCTTGAGGTATATTTGATACATTGGAGATATATTTGTATCCATCACAAAAATCATTTTCCACACAGGCAGGACATTCACTGAAAGATATTTAATGTGTCATGTGCTGCTGGTGATATCAGTACTGACTTCATCATCATGAGAAATGTCATTTTCAGATGCTAATATAGCACAACTCTTCTGAACAAACCAGCTTTCACCTATTTTTTAAAGCATTTTCCATTATGTAACTTTAAAAATTAGCATTTTCTGAGTGCACTGTGTCATTTTTGAGATCATATATGGACCAATCCAACTTTTAAATTACATTTTTGTCTCAGTTTCTGAGGCTCATGCTCCCTACACATTTTAGAAAGCAGCATTTTCCAGCATTTTCCCCAGGATTTGCCCACATCTGCATTCCATTGCCTTTGCCCTGACCCTGAAAGTTTCCTTTCAGAGGGACTCTGGAGCACAGGGCTCGGCAGGAAGGTAAAGTGAGTCTTACCTCAATAGCGAGCAGCCTCCGCTCCAAGTAGTCAATCAGTGCTTGGTGCTGAGCGCTGGCAAAGCAGGCCAAAGTAACCAAGACAACAAGTCCTCTCATTTTGTGTCGGCTCAGTCTCTTTAGCTCCTGTAAAAAGTTTGACTGGAGTTGAGTGAGAGTGTGTGTGTGAAGGAGCCAGCAGATTCCCAGAGGTGGGCTGGAATGTTTTACTAAGCTGTCTGGGAGGAGCCAAAAACATCTGGTGAAGATGGAGGCACACAGTCTCTGAGAGAGACAAGACACTGGTTTTATTCTCACTCCAACTTTTACCTGAAAAAGTGGTGGGAATGTTTTTTATTCAAAACATATGACATTAATGTGGCACAGCAGGACCACACGTTACGTAGGAGGAGCAAGGGAAATGTGAGTCAGTGAGGCACTGTACTCCTGTGTTGAGGGGAGGACCATGGACTGTGGAATTCAAAATTAAATCATGTTGTAAACCCCCCTAATGATGCAACAATGACAAATTATGTGACCACAATATGACCTGTTCTAAGAGATGGATATAGTAGCTGTTGTCCTGAGCTGTGATCCAAACAGGTGTCTTTATTTTGAATGGTGAGAGCAGAAATCTAATGTACCTCATTTGACAGGACATGAAACACTGATGCACACAGATCCAGAGGTTTAGATTATATTAGATAAGATTAAATGACTTTATTCATCCTAAACAAGGACATTAGTTTGGTTGCTGCAGGTCAGAAAGGTCAGATCTGACAGGAGTGACACTATCACATATTCCATCTGGATATTGGTGTTGCTGGGTCCAGTTGTTAAAAAATGTAATCTGGATCAGAATAATCTGGAGTTTGAAATCCCATGTTTTGCTATTCAGCATCAGTTAAGCCATTTGACTTTTGTGTCACTTTTTCAAAGCAACATTGGACTGGATCACCCTGATGCAGGTACAGACTTTTCAAGATTACCAAACCCAGATAACCAGTGTTCAAATGGGAGTACATATCACAGTGCAGGCTACAAAAGACTAGCAGGTAGAAAAGCCAATGTGGGGTCACTCTCAGTGTTTTAATTTGAAAGGACAGAGAACAGCATGAGGGATGTAACTATTAGAAACAATTTTTGCCTGTCAGGGTCTCTGAACATTTTCATGACAAAATTTCCAAACTTTTCCATGACTTTTCAAGGACCTATAATGACATTTCTGTGACCATTTTTAATGTATAAAACAAACATGTATCCATCTAAAAATGCAGAACAATTTATAGTAGTAGTAGTAGGGACAAAATCTTGTATTTATAAACGTTTACTTCATTGTACAGATACAGAAAGACTTAATTGGTAGCCTAATGTCTACTTTATCAATGTAATGGTAAAACAAACCAATGTATATATATGCAGTTTAAAAGTTTTATTACATTTTGTGACTAAAATCCACCCTGAATCCAGCCTTCTGCTGGGGTCAGGATGATCCTGAATTTTGTTTTTGTCTTTTTTCAATCAAAGGTATCCTAATCTTAGTGAAAGAATTTGAACAACACATACAGACGGTTTGATCCAGATCACAACTAAAACCTGTATTTTTACTCTTGAACAACCCATTTTCAATATTTGATCCAATCCAATAGCTGAAGTCCAAACAGATTACTTCTAAATAACTTGGCCCAGGAGACCACCTAACCACTTAATTTGAAAAATAAGTATTTGATACACAATCATTTAATAAATCTGACTGTAAGTCATAAACGACCCATATCTCACATGCCATTCAAAAGTTTCACAGTGTTGGGACCTTCTCAATACTTCTGTTGAGCATCTTAGCATCCTTAAGTCACTCAGCAAACACTTTATAGACACTAAACACTAAACAGGGGATGACCTTCAGTCTGAAGTTTGGTTTGAGCAATTATGTAAAACTAAACTGTAATGGACCGTAAAACAAAAACATTGTAATAGTGCTGGAAGAAAAATCTTTTAATAACCAAAATGGTTTGATTCATCAGTGCAGTGTTGTTTGGTCGTGTTCCAGCAGAGCCTGCTGTGTTTTCAGCTGTCTCTGTGTACAGTAATACTGGACTGATGTCTGCAGCATAAAAACAGTAGTTAGTTTGGTGAGCAGTGAATTACTGGGGAAATAGGAAATAGTGTCTGCGGTGTCACTTATAATTATCAGACCACCTTGTTGTACAGAAGTCAGTAGTGACATCACTGCACCTCTTTTTCAACACAGCCTGCTTTACTTTAGTTTTTCCAGTAGCTCTGAAACTCACTCACACAGGCCAGAGTGTGTTCATACTATAATTAATAGCTTTATGCTGTTCCTGTCCTTTTAAGTTTTACAGATTTATGATTTATTCTATTTTGGCAGCTTTGAACTACATGACATAACATCCCATAGAGACCCATCTGTGGTGGAGAGACATGAAGTAAAAAGTTTTTATAGAAGTTTGCTGTAACTAGTGCAGTCCGTCTTTCATTCATGCTCTGTCTTGTGTGATTTTATGTTAATTGTGCCGCATGCTTCTGCAGTGGCAAATCGATTTTGCAAATCAAAACAGTATTATTTTCATTCCGCACAAACTATGATGCAATAGTTTTGCATTTTCAGATTTTCAGCACCACTGCAGTATGTCTGCCTACATGGTCCATTGGCAGTATCACCGCTAACAGAATGGCAGCTTTTATCCTCATTAAATCACAAACTGATGCAATCAAACGAGGAACTATGAAAGACGGCGTCTGCTCTGTACTGCTGCTGAACTCTTAACACTCCAAGTCACAGTCCTCTAGATAATGGAATATGAAAGTCAGCTATAAATGATTCTAGTTTTACAGTTATTACTATTATAGTGATAAAACCGAGGTTACTTATGTGTTTAAAAGAAAAACTGTGTAGCCTTTTGATGGACTGTCCTGGGTGTGTCCTGCTGCGTGGAGCTTCAGCCTCCCACAAACCTGAACAGAAAAATTAGTTTAGAAAATTAATCTATGAATGAGATAAACAAGCAACAGGGTCACAGGATTACATTCATAGTAGGGCTGCAGCTGTATCACCGTCATTAGACACTGACATTTGGTTGAAGTTAGGCTGCTGACCAAAATTCAATATCAAGACATCATCAGCCAATGAAAATTTGACGTAGAATACTGACGACAGACAACACTGATATTTTGTTGGTTTTAGGTTGTGTAGTAAAGTAACCAAAAATGACTACCAAACATCTCGTGCTAACATCATCTTGACATAGAATAATGAAATTTAGTAGTGAGGTATGGAGAACAAAACCCAATGTCTTCAAATTGTCATAATGTTAATATCCACACAATGTGAAATTCTTATATCGTTAGACATTTAAAATTTCGTCAATCCAATTTTCAGCCCAACTAAACTTTAATGTCTGTCTGATGTAAGAGAAGAAAACCGATGGTTATCATACTGTGTACATTTGCTCATCCATGGTAGGCCTATTGAAAACTGCGAATATCACCTGCGCATCCAGTCTCTTTTGGTCTTAAAGTCTTCAACTGCCTGGAGTGTTTGTTCAACCAAACATTACCTCGAGGGTCACGGTAACAGATGATAATAATAACTGCGTAATACTGTATACCATGATATTTTCTCAGTACCATGAAAATCTCACACTATTTCAACGTGCTCCACCCACCCAAACACTGTTGCAGACAAAATAAACCCCCTCATGGCCATGACACTTGTCCATGGCAGTGCCCCCCAGCAGGACAATGCACCATGCCACACCATAAAAACTGCTCAGCCATGACCCGAAGAATGGGACAAAGAGCTCAAGGTGTCAACTTGACCTCCACATTACCCAGATCCCAACTTGATCGAACATTTGAGGGACGTGCTAATACCCCAGAGGTACCCCCGATCCACGGTTGGTGCTCCTTGGACTGGACTCACGTTAAGGCATGGACACAGGACCTGTGGAGGGTGTCCCTTGGTGTCTGGCACCAGGGCGCTACCTTCAGATCATTTGTGTCCTGTGGGTTGTGAGGTGGGGTACCAGCATGTCCCACAGATGTTTGATCAGATTGGGGTCCAAGGAATTTGGAGGCAAGGTTGATGCCTTGAGCTCTTTCTCACGTTTCTTGTACCATTCCTGAGCAGTTTTTGTGGTGTAGTATGGCACATTGTCCTGCTGGGGGGTGTCTGGTCTGCACTGGTGTAGTTGGGTGTAGCGTGTCAGGTGGCGACCACACAAATGTCAGAACCCAAGATTTCCCGAAAGAACTTGGCATTGTCACAAGATGATTAGTGTTGTTCACGTCACCTGTCAGTGGTTTTAATGTTTGGCTGATCAGTGTATATTCAAAGATCATATTTTAAAATAATCCAGACTCTTGGCCATGCCTTAGATAGCTTTATGTGATCCATCTGTGGATTACTCAGATAACCTATAGATACAAATCCAAGGCAGGCTATGTACCCTTTTGACGAGTGCCACTGCTGCGGTGTGTAGAAAAATACATGGGAAAACTTTTACAAAATAAGGATTTGAGATAAGCTTGAGATCATACTGAGCCCAGGAAGATGTGGGTGAATGGTTTAACTAAAAATAAAGCTTAAATATCGCTCACAGCTTTTTAAAATCCAAGGTTTTTTTTTTTTTTTTACTTTTTTACCCAACAATAACTCTATTGTGCTGGGCTGCAGCTCATTTGTAAATTGGCGCTACGGCCATCTCAGCATCCTACACAGGAAATATGGTGCTATTTAATGCTGCTACAACTAAAGGCCTGCTGTATTGGTCATTGTTGGCAATTGGGTCATTGTAATTCATGGTCATGTGAAGCACGTTTCTGACTCTCTGTTATCTCACTTTGTACTGTCATTGCTTAAGGTTTGTTTAAGAATGTGCTTATTTGAATTTGCGTCACTTTTATGATCAGTTGATTTTTCATTTCATTTTAAAAAAGGTCAGCATACAGATATACAAGCTGCTATAACAACCTGGATAAATATAAGTGAAAACAACTTAAGGTGGTTATGTTAGTATGTAACAGCCCAGCATGTGCGAGTGTGTGTAGGTGTTCCTGTGCTGTGTATGAAAATGTTTCTGGGCAGTGACTTTGTGTTAAATGATAACAGAACAAATATTTGTTAGTCATTATTGAAAACTATCTTGTGCTTTTACACGCATGGGATTAATCCTGTCACTGACAGAACAGTAAGAAGAGATTCCTAATGTTTGGCAAATCTCTAATAAAAATGCACAGTTGATGCATTCACCTCATAAATCATGACATAAGGTTCTCCCTACATGATAGCACATTAGAGGTTCTGTCTCTGGTTTTACTCAGCATAAGAACCAAATGTTATGGTATCATCCACCCCTATTAATGTATTTGATGTGTTTGTGTCAGGGAAGGTTGGAGCTGCCTGAACAGGAGCTTCAATGCTGGCGTCAAGTCAGAGTATTTTGCAGCATTGTCAGTCTTGTCAAAACCTGGTTCCCACATTACCCACAATGCAACCTAATGCTGTGCTCCAGTTACCCTGACAGTCAAAGGATGGAGCTGGGAATGACATTGGACCCAATTTCACTGCGTTCCAGTACAACTAGTTGGAAAGCCAAGATGTTGCTAGCAATGCTAGTTCTAGCCAGGTTAGCCATTTCCAGCAATACCAGTAAATAAAAACATTACGCTGTATTTTGCTCCTACACACATTGTAGCAACAAGTCCACAGGTAGAGGTTGGACAGGACTGCGTGTGCGACTGTTTTAATGAGAAATCAGACAGAAGTGCTAATTAACAGTGAATTACTACAGCTTTCACTACTGATTATGTGCGGAGCTGCCATCTTGGATTTTGATGACAGGGTTGGTGAAGTTCCTCTGACACTGAGTTGGAATTCCACCTTTAGACGGCAATCCAGTTGAAATTTCCAATTGGGAACTCCGAAATTCCCACTTCCCAGTGCAAAAGGGAGACACCATGAGATCTGAGTGCATTATAATTGTATAGCTGCTAATGTAGCCTCGAGCCACCCAGCCCCAAGCAGGGATGAGCAGCAGGCTACAGAGGTCCGGTAAGCTGGGTCCATGTCATTGGTTCAACAGCCCATTGGTTTGACATCCCATTAGTCCGACTGTCCACGGTGCTGAACGGCTCGCGGCGGGCGTATGGTGCGCCGCGACCAGCTTGAGGCGGAGCAGGCTCACGGTTTGTTTGTCACTTTTTTTTTTTTTCATTTTAACCAAGACCATGATCTTTTCCTGACCCTAACCAAGTGGTTTTTGTGCCTAAACCTAACCAGACCTTAACCACAGGGCATCATGATTTCGGAACGGACTTCAGAACAATGAGTTTAATATGGTCGGAACAATGGGATGTCGAACCAATGGGCAGTTCCCGGTAAGCTCACTACTTTCTACCTCTACACATGCTTTATTTATTGTTTGTTTTTAAACTTGTAGTCTCCACCTGACAACAGGTAACCATACATCCCAAATGACCCTGACTCAAGTGACATCACTTGAGGTTATTTGAGATTTCATGCAGCTCCCTCTAGAGCCACAAAAGGGTTCATATAAATTTTGTCATACTTGCAGTAGTACTTCCAAAAGATTATCCTTAAAGGTGCAATATTAACCTGGTCACACTTCTCTTAAAATACTGAAACTTGGTCAGTGGCTCTTAGCATCAGACACTGACGCACAGAGGCACTCTGTCAAGGAACTGAGCCAAGGTGAGGTGAACCCAAAAGCGAGACACTCAAGATAATCTGAGAAGCAGTTTATTAAAGCAACCAAGTCCAAAAATCCACAATCCAAAATCCACAGGCAAAAAACAGGCAAGCAAAGTCGGTACACGTAAGACAATAATATCAGGCAAAGTCCAAAATCCACAGTCAGAAAACAGGCAAGCAAGGTCGGTACACATAAGGCAATAATATCTGGCAGAGGTACAAAAGGGCTAGGCTAAAGGCAAACACGGGAAGGCAAAAAAGGTCTTACACGGACGACCTGCTCACAGGAAAGAATGCTGGAAACGCTGGACACAGGGGACACAAGACGATCTGGCAACGGGACACATGAGGAAGAGTGCTTATATACACAGAGGGGTGATTAGACAATGAGACACAGGTGAGGCACATGGGGGAGGGGACCCAGGTGAGGTTTTGGAGGGAATCAGACAAAGACAGGAAGTGAAGTCACCTGAAATGAGACACAACAGTGAGTACCAAAGCGAGACAGGAAGTGAATGAAAATAATGAAACACAAGACAGGGGAATGATAAACACAAACTTGACTAATTACTGGGAGAGGCAGAGCGGCTGAGAGGCCTGACACACTCTTAGCGGTGGTGAGACGCACTGGATAGCAGCATTTTTTGACACTCTAGGCAACTACCACAGTATGGAGAACAGGAAAGTCCACATATGACGGTTGAAAGGGGAGGTGGATGGTCAAACAACTTCTGACTTTCACCAGGAGACCGCTGTTTGTTTCCCATGTGAAACCAAAATTCAATGGAGTTATTTAATAACCATGTTGTGTGCTAGTATGTGCACCATGCTAGGCTCATGGCGTGTGTCACGTGATGTATGTCATGATGTTACTTTACGTTAGTAACAACAGTAGCCTACTTACTTTAAGCCAAGTTTTTTTTTATAAACCTAACCATGAGCTTTAGTTGTCTAAACCTAAGAAAGTAACCCTAAAAGCAAAGGTTGTTTTTTATCTATGTTCTAAGTTACTTTTGAAAAAGCCAGTATACATACAATGAGCATAAATTCACCCACCCAAAACTGACACAGAAGGAGGAGTACGTAACGTGTCATATTTTAACGTGTAGGCCAGCTGACCAAAACGTCGGCATTTGAGTTGGGAGTGAGAATGTGTTGGCAACATACAGCTCTTATGTCTAATGTCACAAGTAAACATAAAGATTGTATCAGCTCTAACTGCTGTATGAGTGCAGAGCGGCACCTTTAAAAACAAATTTACGTGAAAGATTTACGACATCACTCTGGACAGGTCTACACTTTGGTGCTCACCTCTGTCCATAAACAAACCCATCTCACTAAGGTGTGCCAGTGCAGCCAGGCCTGACCTCATCTGCTTTAGTGTGTATACGTATGTGATACTAATATAACACTATTACTATCACTAATGCCAATACGACTAGGCCTACTAATAGTAATAAAAACACATAATTATTATTATCTATATCCTTGTAAGTAACTGTAATATACGATTCTTTTGAAGCTCATTAACACAAAGTTGTTATTTATAGACAGTCTTTCTACCCATAGCAGTGGATACATCCATATATGGAGTGAATGTGGTGGTATGGGGCCAAGCTGGCTGTAAATGAATGAACAAGATGGCGCTGATTAGTGTTACTGTGTGTGTTTGTGCATTTGAATATGAGTCAATCCTTTTTTCCAGCACATTTGCCTACAGGATTGTGTGTCTTCTTCAGTGATTGGGCAGAACACCGTGAGAGGTCCAGAAACATGCAAACACAGGCAAATGTTTTAGAGGCAGCGAGGGGAAGAGGATTGAGGGCCTCTTGTTATCACATAGAAATCAGCTGTTTGCACATCATACAAGGCTGCAGGGAAGTCTACAAACAAGAATACAAGGTATGTTCTGATGGATAATACATTGATTAGGAGATTTTATCATGTTGGCTCGCTGTAGGTTTGCTACAAATCTTATTTTGTGTGGTTAAAGAAGTGAAAAGAGACTAAAGAGGAAAGGTTTTTTTTAAAATAATGTTTGTGTTGTTGTAGGTCTGTACTGAAGGAGACTGTATTTAATGTACCAAAAAAAGAAACAGTGATCATTTTGATTTCCCTCCAGAAAGAGAATACAAAGTGCTACTGAAACTGTGAGCATCGGAGCAACATGGAGTACACATTCAGAGCAGTATCTCACAGCCCTGGGATTATAATCTGGAGAATTGAGGTAATTTGATTTTACAGTAGCTGCTGCAATAGTGACTGTGGACTGGGGTTATTCAAAATCAGTTGTACAGTTTGGAAAGAGAAAAAAAGGTCTGGGACTCGCAAATGACTAAAACAGCAGTTATGATGTGGGGGGAAAAAACTGAGATCGAGGAATACTGGTTTTTACATCTGAAATGTAGACCTTTTTTTGGACGCCTTGTTCTCTCTGTGCAACAGAAAATGGAGCTGGTCCAAATCCCTGAGAAATCTTATGGAAACTTTTATGAGGGCGACTGCTACGTACTTCTGTCTGTAAGTCTGGGAAGGTGACTAATAGTGGTTTTGGGTGCCATGGCTGCTTGTTTGTTTGTTTGGATCTGTTGTGTTTGAAGACAGTAAAAAGAAGTGGTGACAAAAATTGCTTTTGTCTTTTAGTAAATCAGATAACATCCTGAACCATGCACACTGTTTCTTCACTCCTGTATTTCTCCACAGACTCAGAAGGTGAGCAGCTCTCTGTGTTATGATATCCACTACTGGATCGGCTCACAGTCCACTCAGGACGAACAAGGTGCAGCTGCTGTTTACACCATACAGCTCGATGAATTTTTGGGTTCCACTCCGGTCCAGCACCGAGAGGTTCAGAACCATGAGTCTGATGCCTTCAGGGGCTACTTCAAACAAGGCATAATGTGAGTGAAATTATCATGGCCATCATTTTATAAACAGTTAAAAAAAAACCTTGAAAATCATCATCCTGTCTTGTGTAGCTATAAGAAAGGTGGAGTTGCATCAGGAATGAGGCACACTGAAACCAACACCTATGACGTTAAGAGGCTGCTTCATGTCAAAGGGAAGAAGAGAGTGATTGCAACCGAGGTGGGCCACGCTTCACAGTGGTTATGTAACATTATGGCACAGAGGATGTCATTTTGAAGGAGTGCTCTAATTTGTTTCAGGTGGAGATGAGCTGGAAGAGCTTCAACCTTGGAGATGTGTTTTTGTTGGACATTGGCAAGACTATTGTTCAGTGGAATGGACCAAAGTGCAACAAACAGGAAAAGCTTAAAGTAAGATTTTTGTGGTCATTTGGTTGCCTGTGTTTATGACTGGGTGCAGAATTCATATGGAAATGCACAAAAATATTGAATAGAAAACTAGATGCATTTACTCCACATTATTTCACTCTTCACTTCTTTTTCAACAATACAAGATATGTCGTATAGGATACAGTAAATCAGCTTACCAGCGAATACATTTGCAACTGTTTTTGCCGGTGCATAATAATAACATAACAGTAACTTTACCTGGCTTACAATTTACATTTTCTAACAAAGATGTTTTATGATCATGTGAAAGTCATGTGAGCAGCTTTTGAGGTGCAGACCCTGAAACAAGACTGACAGACTGCTCTAACTCCTGCCCTCACCCCGTCTAAATATCATCATTACACCTCTATGGAAAGCTGTGGGAGGGTGCAGTCGGAGCTCATTTCCTTCTTCCTGCAAAGAGGCTGGAGGCTCTGAATGATTCACAACCCCACTGCGCACAGTCTAAAGCTATGTAACAGCAGTACAGTGAGGGAGGAAACTTTCAGGTTATTGATCTTTATATTCTAGTATTACCATCATTTTGGCTCCCCCACATAATACTTCATTCAGATATATTTAGCCATTATTCAGGTTATGTGCTCATTTATGTTGCATGTCCTGTCTTTATAATGAGATTTCTGACAAACCAACTTTGGAACTCCATATAGATAAAACTAGTATTGGATATAACTTACAAACTTCTACTTAACTGGGAAGTGAGAAACTAAAAAAATGGTTAAAGTGGTAGCTAGGCTAAGATATTCTGACTTTAAAGAGGACCTAGTATGCTCATTTTTAGGATCATACTTGTATTTTGGGTTTCTGTTAGAACATATTTACATGCTTTAATGTTCAAAAAACACTTTCATTTTCCTCATACTGTCTGTGCTGGAACACCTGTATTCATCCTCTGTCTGAGATGCTCAGTTTTAATGGCTGTCTCTTTAAGCGCCTCTCCTACAAAAAGGCCCAGTCACCTCTGATTGGTCAGCGTTTCCAGATCCTTATTTTGGAATTCCTGCACCTTCATTGCAGCCAGGGGAATGACTGTAACAGAGATTAGTGGCATTTTCTACCATGTAAAATCATCAAAAAAAGCTTCTAAACACAACCAGACATGTTCCAGCAGGAATATAATCCAAAATCAGAGAGAAATGAACACCATCAGTGACCAGGATTACATGTTGTATTGGAAGCCATCACTTGCAGTAGTCGTGCATGGAGCAGACAACCACATTAAGGAATTTGTCTTGAGCTGACGCCTTGTAGCCAAAGCAGAACAGAACGGTCTGAAGCCTGAGGTCTCTGCTCATTATCTGAAACTTTGGTCACATTTAATTTGAACATGCATTATCATGATACATGACAGAAAATAAGGAAAATATGTCCCCTTTAAGTCTCTTGTATGGCTCCAAAACCACTGGATCTTTATGTCATAATTTTAAGGTCTGGAACCCAAACTGAGATAACCAGGATGACATCATCAGTTTTTTTCCAGGCTTACGAAATCTCCCTCCCTCCACAGAAGATATTATACAGCTGTTTTCACAGTCTGAGTAGGGTAGTAATTATGACTAGTATACTGATCCTCATCTATAAAATCGGTTTAGTTCATCTTTAATATCTGCTTCTTTGCTTTGCTGTGACTAGATGCCTGTGTGCTGATCAAAACAGTTTTACTGAATGAGTTAAAAACAGCACATATATCTTTGCCGAATGAGCTAATGAAAAATGATTAGGGTACACTTTACAGCAATGATGTTTTCACCACATTATGACACCTCACTTTAATATCTTGTGGTGAATTTAGTGGGCATGCTCAGTTTTTTAGTTTGAAGTCTGAGATTTCTTGATTGTGTAGTTTTTCTGTGTCACACTTCTGCTCCTCAGGGCATGTTGTTGGCCAAAGACATCCGAGACAGAGAGAGAGGAGGTCGGGCAGAGATCCGAGTGATCGAGGGTGATGCAGAGGGCAACTCTCCTCAGAGCATGGAGATCCTGAGCAGTGTTCTTGGAGAAAGAAGCTTTGCGCTGAAGGATGGATCTCCAGATGAAACTGCTGACCAGGAACAGAAGGCGAAGCTCACACTTTACCAGTGAGCTGCTCCCCAGCCGTGACATTTTCATGTAGCTTATGTCCAGTTAAAGTGTAGCTTGTTTTTTCTTATTTGTTTGTGCGTTTATTTCAGTGTGTCAGACGCTGATGGTCAGATGAAGGTCACAGAAGTCGCTACCAGACCATTGGTTCAGGATCTCCTGAGCCATGAAGTGAGTTGGTGCAATAAAGACTAAATAAAGATGCATATGTGATTATGGCCAGTGGCACCTATAAAATGTAGCTGTTCGTCTAGTGTGACATTTCCCTGAACAACTTAAAGTTTTAAACTCTTGACACTGCTGTTTAGACTCAAATGACTTGAACAAATAGTTTATTTACTGATTTCATCTTGTAAATTTAATGTAATTATGTGTTTAGGACTGCTACTTCCTGGATCAGGGAGGGATGAAAATCTTTGTATGGAAGGGGAAGAAAGCAAACAGAGCTGAGAGACAGGCTGCTATGGCCAGAGCTTTGGTGAGTGACCCTACATCAGGCCTTCATGTGTAATCTCAGCTTGTGTTCGATTGCTCTTGCATGCATACAACTAGATAAAACTAATGCGGTCCAATACAGCAGTCCTGCAGTACATTCCACCTGAGTGTATTTGCCATAGATTTTTTCTGATTGGCTGTTATAGGAGTTCATCAAAGCAAAAAACTACCCAATCACTACAAATGTGGAGACGGTGAATGACGGGGCAGAGTCAGCTCTCTTCAAGCAGCTGTTCCAGAGGTGGACTGTAAAGAACCAGACTCAAGGTCTGGGCAAAGTGCATACAAGAGGGAAAGTTGGTACGTGTGTTTTTAAATTCACAAAAACACAACAAGAACAGACTATTGCTTCTGATAAACAAAGAAAGAAATGAACTGGTTTTGTTTTGTGACCATATGTTTCAGCTCATGTCACACAGGAAAAGTTTGATGCCTCTCTGATGCACATGATGCCAGAGGTTGCTGCACAGGAGCGAATGGTGGACAATGGCTCAGGTCAAGTGGAGGTATCAGTGGCAATTTAATCTGAATGTACTTCGAGAAGGATCAGTCTGTTATCCACTGTGTTAACTTTTTGAAAAACTAATGAGTAAATCGGTGCCATAAGGCAGTTAGGACAGGCCCCTGTGCATGCTAGTTACTAGTTATGAAACACATTTTGTGTCCAAACTATCTATCGTATATCCATTGTCTCGTCACACAATCAGATAGAGATAGAATCGCTTACTGTTCTGTGCACACCACATTGCTGGAGGGCCCACTATCTCCATGGGCATGCTAACACTATTATGTTAGCATTATACTATTAACATTCAGCTCAAAGTGCAGCTAAGCATAGGAGCAGGTGACAAACAAAGCTGCATTATAAAATGCTCCTCTTACGTTTTTACTCACACCTCACTCTCATACACTTTTAATTAATTCCTCCACACTCTCACACCCATCATTAATACCCCCCCTGGACTCCCACTCTTTCATAGAGTAGGCCCACATTTCAACTAGGAATGTACAAATAGAGGAGTCTTCAAGAATAATAGAATGACTCAATAAAATAATAAATGTATGATTAATTACAACTTCATTTGGTAATATGTACCACTCAAGGTGCCTTCTTCACAGCAGACATTTTGACTTGTAGCAGGAAAAACAGCAGGTATTACTAATAACATTAATGATGGCTCTGCACTAATCAATTGTGCCATTAGCTAGTAGGCCGTGAGAGTGATAGTGAGCCAGCATGCACGATACCAAGACCCTGAAACTGAAGCTAAATAGACTACAGCCATGATTGATTTCATTATTTAGGCCACACTTGTACTTTTCCTACTGTGACATGCCAAAGTGTCTCCTGAGAAAAAGGTGAGTAGGGTCCCACAGTTCTGGGTTAATCTGAACAAACAGTTCTGTAGTTGGTATTTCTTACCAACATTTTTCTTTTATATGTGTAATGAGCATTTTAACCCTTGAAGGGGAACTTTACCTGCAAATTTCAGCACTTCTAGTAAATGTGCCTTTGCAATATGTTCAGGTGTGGAGAATTGAGAATCTGGAGCTTGTCCCTGTGGACCCTCAATGGTACGGATACTTCTATGGAGGAGACTGCTACCTGATCCTCTACACTTATCTAGTCAACAACAAGAAGTGTTACCTGCTCTATATATGGCAGGTGAGGATTTAATTCAACACCCAGTATCTTACATAATAATAATGGTAATTCACAATCAGTTGCTTACAGGAAAGTCTATCCCTCACTGTCCCTGCTTTGGAATTTCCTGATTTTCACTGCATTATATGATAGAAAATACTTTACCACTTATTGTTTCAGGGCCGTCACGCCACACAAGATGAAGTGGCAGCCTCAGCATTTCAGGCTGTGGACTTGGATCAGAAGTACGGGGGAGAGCCAGTTCAAGTGAGAATAACAATGGGCAAAGAACCAAGACACTTTATGGCCATGTTCAAGGGTAAAATGGTCATCTTTGAGGTACGACTGCATTTATAATCATACATTTGGAAACACTGTGGTGTATACAGTTTTTATAACAGTGTAGATTTTTTTTCTGTTAGGGAGGCACATCTAGAAAAGAGTTTGCTGATCCAGAGCCACCCATAAGGTTGTTCCAGGTCCACGGTTCTGACCCGTCCAACACAAAAGCCATTGAGGTTCCAGCGCTGGCCACCTCTCTAAACTCCAATGATGTGTTTCTACTAAAGTGCCAATCGGGAGTCTATCTGTGGTGTGGAAAGGTAAACAAAGGTGGTGTTAAAATAAGATGGCGAAAATGATGGTGGCTGGTGACAATACAACACAGTATGATACCTTTGTAGTGTCTGTTGTGATACTAATGGGTAAAATACATAGAAATCCACATCCAGAAACATTTGTGTACTTTTGTGTCCGTCACTATTTTCATGTTTTGGACTATGGCCTGTAGCACCAATGAAGTAAAATCGTGAGAGTGTAATGATACTTTAGACAACAGTGTGCTTCCAGTGTTGTGGCAACAGTTTGGGAGGGCCCTTGTGCACAAAGCCAGAGCTGGAACTGGACGCAGACTACGAGCCGGGCCTTATCGGCCAACATCAAGGCCTCACCTCACTAACTTGTGCCTGAAGCAAATCCCTGCAGCGAGAGACTGTTGGAAAGTCTCTCTGGAATAATGGATACTCTTAAAGCAGCATGTTAATACTCATACGTTCTACAATCACATGTGGGATGTAATGTTTGTGTGTCCACATACCTTACTGTAACAGAGTAACTGACTTTTCATTACCAGGGATCAAGTGGAGACGAGAGAGCCATGGCAAAGGAGGTGAGCTCTGTGATTAGCCAGCAATCACAGCAAGGCAATGAAGAGCTTGTGGCCGAGGGTCAGGAGCCCATTGAGTTCTGGGAGCTGCTCGGAGGGAAAGCTCCCTATGCTAGTGACAAGAGGTGATGATGACACATTTACAATACTGTTATTTGCAAATGGGCTTCAAATGGGTTTTTCACTATTTTGCATCTAACATGTTGTTGATAACAGATTACAGCAAACGGTTTCAGACCACCAGCCGCGCCTGTTTGAATGCTCCAATAAGACAGGCCGTTTCATTGTGACCGAGGTGACTCAGTTCACGCAGGACGATCTCAATGAGGATGATGTCATGCTGCTGGACACATGGGACCAGGTATGAAGCGACACTATACATTTAAGAGCTGCAGGTGATTACATCATCAACATACCTAAATTTTTGTGTAGCCTTTTCTGTCCCACGCTACCTTAAATGTTCATTTTTATCGTTGGTCTCAGGTGTTTCTCTGGATAGGTAAAGAGGCCAATGAGGTAGAGCGTAAAGAAGCACTGGTCACCAGCCAAGAGTACCTGCGCACCCATCCAGGTGCCAGAGATCCAGACACCCTCATCATCTTGATCAAGCAAGGATTTGAGCCACCGATCTTCACTGGGTGGTTCACAGCATGGGACCCTTCCAAATGGAGTGTGAGTGGTTTTGAAGTGAAATGTAGATCAACATGTACACTGATGATTTTTTTAAAATAAATATTTCTTTCTTTTAGGGAGGAAAGAGTTACGAGGAGTTGAAGAAGGAGCTGGGAGATGAACTGTCACTTGTTCATGTTACAGTTGTATGTAACATCTTATTTATTTTTTTAAGCTTTTTTGCAACATAAATCATTATTTGTCTGATACAGTGGTCACCAAGATGTTTCCATTCTTCTTCATGCACATTGCATTGAAGTTTCGGTGTTAGTGCTTCAGGTAAAGAGGTTTTGTCATGATTAAATTCCAGTCAGATATAGAAGAACATTTGGGAATAATTACTTTAGAGCTGCAAACATCCAGTCTTACCTAAAGCATTACCAGGATAACAAATCTTAAGAGGAATGCTAAGAACATTACAGTTACATGGAAGAACTGAAGATGGATTTTCAACACTGTTGTTTTTGTTTAGCCGATCTTGAATACAAAAGAGTATGACAAAGAGTCAGGGATTGTATCAAAGAACTCTATCCCTCTACCATTGTCTCACCAAAAATGTGTTTTAAGAGCCGGTTTAATGTCGCAACAGGAAGTGATACATTAATGAAGATACAAAGATCAATACTCTGAATCTAAACCATGATGTGACTTTCTAGGAGCAGAACTGTGTTGAACCTCAGAAAAACTTTCAGTCCTTCCCACCTGACGACTTGGTGAACAAGCTCGCCAGCGAACTGCCTGAAGGTGTTGACCCAACCCAGAAAGAGGTGAATGTGTGTGTGTGTGTGTGTGTGTGAGAGGGGAGCAGGTGCTTAACATGGTGTGATGAAGTTAAAGTTCAGCCACCATGTTCATGCACTCTGCCCCTGGGACAGTTCTGTCATATCTTCTGCATAATCTAACCGGTCATGGCAGAAATAAAACCTCAATTGACAATCAGCCAAAAAAGTACAAGTCTGTGATCCCGAAAGCCACATTAAATTATCCAAAGTGGAAATTATGAACTTGGTAATGCTTTATTTTAAGGATAATCAGTAAGGCAAACCAGGCACTCCAAAATATAAGATAAAATATGTCACTGAGGAAGAAAATAATAAAAAGCCTTTATTGTTGTGGCTATATCATTTAAAAAAGCCAACATGTTTTGACCAATAGGTGTTCATCAGGGCATTTATAAACGGACAACAGGGATGTTGCCTAACCTATATTGTAGCAACTGCCAATGGGAGGCAATCACATGACTCACATGATCCCATGACAGGTAAAACAAATTGAAAATAATGCCTGAATAGCGCCTGATTTGCCTTCTTGTTTATCCTCTTTTGTTCCCTATTTTCTAAGAGCACCCAATACATTTTTGAACTATGTTTGAGTATACAGAGCAACCAGTAATTTCTTTTTCCTTGCTTATTTTTATGGCTTTATAGGGGGAAAATAGGGATTTCCTTATAAAGAAAGGCTCAGTTTATATCCAAAGATTAGTTAATTATTCCTTTATTGTATCTCCATGTTGAACTGTAAGCTGTCTGTAGACAAATGTCACATTTTTATGAGCTGCCCCTATTTTAAAATGAGTATGAAATTACATAGCTTTTTTCTTTTTAAGGTAATTCCAAAGAAATAACTAGGAAACTGCTGACACATAAAACCTTTTCCATTAATAGTATCATTGCCATGTCTGATTCAGTTATTATTTTTCAGGAGCTACTTATAGTCAGCAGTTAGTCTCTGAATTGTTCCCCCCTCAATCATTGTTCATCCACTCAGCATTTTGTGCACCTTGTTGTAAAATGTAACCACGATGCTTTGCTGCTATTGTGATACATTCACCAACTACAGTTTGGGAACTGTTTTTCAGAAACACCTGTCTGACTCTGACTTCTACGACGTATTTGGCATCACCAAAGACGACTTTGCCAGCATGCCGCAGTGGAAACAACTAAACCTGAAGAAAGAAAAGGGGATGTTTTGATCAGATTGTTTTCTGTACTTGATATAAACTTCCCTCTTTAGCTTAACCTGTTTTTGGAGTAAATGTTAATAATGTGTCTTTTTAGGTCTGATTTTTATTGTAATTCATACATTTGTTCCAAATCACTGTATGTCTTGAATACTTGATTCTTTTATAAATTGTGTGGATGTTGTTCAATCAACACTGTATAATTAATTGTTTGTGATAATATTATTTGAACTCTAAGAATGAAAAAAAAATATAAAGTATATTGCTTAATCTGCTGTGTTTGTTTTGTGGCACAACTTACATCTAATGAAATGGCATATTTTAGCTAAAACAAGATGTCACATTCATTACTGATTTACCGACTATAATTGGACATGATCTATTTATTATGGATTCAAATTCCAGCTTGATGCTTTTTACTGCTGGATCTCAATGAAGCTTCTGACACTATTTATTGATCACCATATACTTATTGACTGACTGGAAAACAAATGTGGCATTTCTGGTCTGGCTCTTGAGTGGCAACAATCTTATCTATCTGAAAGAACACAGTATATTATCTTTACTAATACAACATCAGTATTTTGTGATGTGAATTATGGAGTACCTCAGGACTCCATTCTTGGTCCTCTGCTCTTCTCTCTGTAGGCCAATATAAACACAGTCATGGAATTAATTTACACTGTTGCACTGATGAAACTCAACTGTATTCGCCTGCAAAGGCAGATGATCATTCCCAAACTTGGAGGCCTGCTTGCCTGCTGTGACAAACTGGATGTTAAGTAATTTCTTGCCCCTAAATTTAGATCAAACTGAAAAACACTGGTCCTTCTCAACACAGACGCCAGTTTTATCAAGTAACAGAAACTCTAGACAACTGTGTCATATCCCAAAGTTTGACACCCAAGAATCTTGTTGTTACATTTGATTCAAACCTTGTTTTGACCAGCACATTAAAGATATCAAGATTGCCTCACTTCACCCACGCAACATGGCTAAAATCAGGTCATTTTATCCATGGCTGATACAGAGATCTTAATTTCCACCTTTGTACCATTAAGACTGGATTACTGTAACATTTTGTTGTCAGGCCTGCCAGGCCTTCCAGTACTAGAAGTCTCCAAATGGTGCAGAGCACTGCAGCAAGAATTTAAAATAAAACTAGAGTATCTGACCATAATATACCAGTTTTAGCTTTTCTTGATTTGCTCCTTAACCATGTGAGATTGGACTCTCTGCTGTTAGTGTGCAGGGCACCTGTGTGTCCCCAGACTTTAAAAAGAAGTCAGTGGAATTCCCCTTGAGTAACCTCCCTATGGACATCAGACAATCTGACTCTGTTAAAACCTTTAAATCCAAACTCAAAACTTTTTTGCCTGAACTTTAAATTAATTGCTTTCTCTGCCATCACATGATGATGGGTTGGTCTCAGTCTCAATGTATAATTTAAGCCTAGTTGTCCTGCCGACAAGCCACTGCTTCTCAACAACCCTTTGTTGGTTGTGTCCCACAAACACTGCTGTGTGCCTCTCTGTCTCTTTCTCTGTCTCTGTCTTTCTCTCTCCCTCCCTACCTCTCTGTTTTATTATAACTCAGGCTTCTCTGTGCTGGACCATGGGCCCTCCTGGGACCTCTTTTTCTCTCCAGGCTGTTGGTGCCTCATTCCAGATGTCTGGATCTACTTTAGTCTCTCGCTGTGCTTGTTCATTCTCCTGTCTATGAGAATAATGTGCTTCAGTTTTGCTTCTTGTGTGTTTCTGTAGCCTGTCCTCTTTTATCCCAACCAGCAGAAAAAAAATGTTGGCACTGTACGTTTCTCTAAGCCACAGATACATTTGCACACTATTATATAGTGCATACGTTGAAACTTGAAGTTTCAACAGTGCTGTGGTTAACATGTGGTTAGGTTTAGGCACAAAAACCACTTGGTAAGGAAATTATCATAGTTCTGTTGTCACAATCATGGCTGGAGAACCAGCTGATGTCTCTGTAAAAAACAATCAATCAATCAATCAATCAATCAATCAATTTTATTTATAAAGCCCAATATCACAAATCACAATTTGCCTCACAGGGCTTTACAGCATACAACATCCCTCTGTCCTTATGACCCTCACAGCGGATAAGGAAAACTCCCCCAAAAAAACCCTTTAACGGGGAAAAAAAAAAAACGGTAGAAACCTCAACCGTTTTTTTAGTTTGATGGTCCTCAACAGTAATCTGCAGCTTTCCAGCTGTAGCGCCATCCACCATTCCCTCCACCTTCCAATGACAAAGTCAGCTCATATACTACCTTACTTTAGAAACGCTGATATTATACATACAGTACAGGCCAAAAGTTTGGACACACCTTCTCATTCAATGCGTTTTCTTTATTTTCATGACTATTTACATTGTAGATTCTCACTGAAGGCATCAAAACTATGAATGAACACATGTGGAGTTATGTACTTAACAAAAAAAGGTGAAATAACTGAAAACATGTTTTATATTCTAGTTTCTTCAAAATAGCCACCCTTTGCTCTGATTACTGCTTTGCACACTCTTGGCATTCTCTCCATGAGCTTCAAGAGGTAGTCACCTGAAATGGTTTTCCAACAGTCTTGAAGGAGTTCCCAGAGGTGTTTAGCACTTGTTGGCCCCTTTGCCTTCACTCTGCGGTCCAGCTCACCCCAAACCATCTCGATTGGGTTCAGGTCCGGTGACTGTGGAGGCCAGGTCATCTGCCGCAGCACTCCATCACTCTCCTTCTTGGTCAAATAGCCCTTACACAGCCTGGAGGTGTGTTTGGGGTCATTGTCCTGTTGAAAAATAAATGATCGTCCAACTAAACGCAAACCGGATGGGATGGCATGTCGCTGCAGGATGCTGTGGTAGCCATGCTGGTTCAGTGTGCCTTCAATTTTGAATAAATCCCCAACAGTGTCACCAGCAAAACACCCCCACACCATCACACCTCCTCCTCCATGCTTCACAGTGGGAACCAGGCATGTGGAATCCATCCGTTCACCTTTTCTGCGTCTCACAAAGACACGGCGGTTGGAACCAAAGATCTCAAATTTGGACTCATCAGACCAAAGCACAGATTTCCACTGGTCTAATGTCCATTCCTTGTGTTTCTTGGCCCAAACAAATCTCTTCTGCTTGTTGCCTCTCCTTAGCAGTGGTTTCCTAGCAGCTATTTGACCATGAAGGCCTGATTGGCGCAGTCTCCTCTTAACAGTTGTTCTAGAGATGGGTCTGCTGCTAGAACTCTGTGTGGCATTCATCTGGTCTCTGATCTGAGCTGCTGTTAACTTGCGATTTCTGAGGCTGGTGACTCGGATGAACTTATCCTCAGAAGCAGAGGTGACTCTTGGTCTTCCTTTCCTGGGTCGGTCCTCATGTGTGCCAGTTTCGTTGTAGCGCTTGATGGTTTTTGCGACTCCACTTGGGGACACATTTAAAGTTTTTGCAATTTTCCGGACTGACTGACCTTCATTTCTTAAAGTAATGATGGCCACTCGTTTTTCTTTAGTTAGCTGATTGGTTCTTGCCATAATATGAATTTTAACAGTTGTCCAATAGGGCTGTCGGCTGTGTATTAACCTGACTTCTGCACAACACAACTGATGGTCCCAACCCCATTGATAAAGCAAGAAATTCCACTAATTAACCCTGATAAGGCACACCTGTGAAGTGGAAACCATTTCAGGTGACTACCTCTTGAAGCTCATGGAGAGAATGCCAAGAGTGTGCAAAGCAGTAATCAGAGCAAAGGGTGGCTATTTTGAAGAAACTAGAATATAAAACATGTTTTCAGTTATTTCACCTTTTTTTGTTAAGTACATAACTCCACATGTGTTCATTCATAGTTTTGATGCCTTCAGTGAGAATCTACAATGTAAATAGTCATGAAAATAAAGAAAACGCATTGAATGAGAAGGTGTGTCCAAACTTTTGGCCTGTACTGTATATAAAAGCATAATTCTAAGGCTACGAAAACCAAACGAATTTTATTTTATAGCGATTATACACTTGTATAAACATATTAATGGGTAGAGTATTCAGATTCAGATTCAGATTGACAATAAACTATGCCAAATATTACACACTGGCCCTTTAAGTCCCCTAAGGCAAGTTGTGAGTTGTAACATTGGGCTATATAAATAAAAATAGACTTGACTTGACAAGTGAATTTCAGTCCTGATGAAAAGGCTTTTGCTATATGGTAAAAGACCACATTATTAAAAATATATTTTCAGAAAGTGATAACAACAGAACATTAGAGTGAACAATTTTCCAAACTCATCACAGTAACAAACATTTATGTAACTTCTAGTAACTCTGATCTCCTGGACACAAAACCAAATGTGAGGATGATCTACTGTGCCATCTGCTGGACAAATACTGTGACAACATGTCAGGCCAAAACAGCTCAAGGAACAAAATGACAAATTTCAAAATGGTTTAAAAGTTTGTTCCCATATCTGCAGGGGTACACCAAATGCAGTGCAATTTCTGGTGGATTTCTCTGTTATACCGTATAGCACTTTAGGTTACACAGGAACAAATTACCAACCATCTTATAGACGGGGTGAGTGACATTTGATTTCCGTAATTATCATTGCCATTTTCAGTGTAGTTTATTTTAATCTATTTAGTTACATTTAGTTTCTCTGAAGGCATTGCCAAAACTGTTCTGATGTTTTGCTCCACAATGATGCAAATATATGCCTTTAACAAAAGCATGCTATGGCATTAATTGTAGGAAACTAGACCCGTTTCTTCACCACTGGTTTCATTGGTCACAGTTAAGTTTTAAGCTGCTTGTGACCATGATTCCTTTATTATGTCATAAATATTTTAAATATAAGTAAAAAACAAATGACTAATCAGCATCAGCATTATTTCACTTTTTTTATTTTGATATGTTTGGAACGTATTTTGTGTTACAAGTATAAATCTATGTAATTTACTGTTACATCTTAACATGTCATACAAAGCTCAGGACAAGTCAAAAATATCTACCCCATAAAACAGATCACATGAAGAACATATTTTTTGCATTGTTGTGGAAAATGAAACACAAAAAGCACTTTGATAACTTCGCAAGTTGTGGAAATGTCACTGCTTTGAGAAATAA